GTCACCTCTTTTCCTCCCGCACTGTTGGATTGGTCGGAATGCCTGTCAGGCGGAGGCTGGTTGCCCCCCAGGGTTGCTTTCAGCGGATTCACCACCATTACCACTTCACTTCCCCCGACCCACAGTCCCTGGGGAGATCGCCCCAGATAACTTAGGGTTTAGGGTTTAGGGTTTAGGGTTTCCATTCTGGCTCCAGCGCTGGCATGCCATCACCAGCATTGTTCGCAAACGTGAGTCGAAGCTAGATATACTCACCAATAACACAACACCGCCAATGCCAAGACCAGCACTTCCTTTTCCGGACATAAACCTAGATAGGCTAAAGTCCTAATTCAAAAATCTGCGGAGTAGGCATTATCACCGTGTATACGTATTGACATGTGCATAAAACCTGCGGGAAGAACATCTTTCAACAAATCCGCCACTCCGCCAAACGGTAAGGACTCATTCTGGAGCACAGAAAGCATACGGCTTCGCTTTTGATGCCCCGGCGCTCGCGGCTTTCCCCAGCCATGAAGAGGCACACTTTGGTTCTTCGTCATGGGCATTAATGATCAGAATGCGACCTCCGCGCACAAACAAATCTACGCTTGTCTGTGTATTATTCCGCGTCATTCAAAGCGACAAGAAATCAGGAAAGCAGATCAGCTTCCGTTGCTTCCACAGCAGGCGGCCGAGCACCATCGGTAACATACATATCTGGAAATGCAAGAGCCCCCACACGCCACACGCTGCCTGTGTGCTTGTGCTATCGCTGCTATCGTAAGCCAAGTCTGCTAGAAAGGCGCTTCCGCTGAATCATGAATGCACCTGAGGGATGCATCACAGCATGCTTCTGAAGTTGCAACGTCCAGGACTGCGTAGTCCTGAATCGAGGCATGCATCAGTACGTCATTGCAAAAGGCATCCAGAACGTCACTTTGTCATGTTCATGCATGTTTGGATCTTCCCGCCTTACACAGGCTGGGATGACGACGCAGCGCTAAACCTCCGGAACAACCAAAGCAGCAGTATGGCAACGAGCCGTTGAACACAGGGCACGAGCCTGGGCAAGCATTGAAGGCCGGGCTCGGTAGCCAATGTCAAAGAGCCCATCGGAAGCATCTTGGTTCCACGAAGTCGAGCCACCTGAAAAAGTCTGTTCGAGCCTGAATTTCCTGCCTCAGCCTTTGCACAAACAAATCCCGGCCTCATCTAAACAACTGTTGGCCTCCCGTAGAAGCCTGATGCTGCATGTCATGGTGCACCTAAAGAGCAAGCAACTCAACACCTATCCACTTGAGTCTCGTGCCCTTCGCAAAGTTGCTGCATCGCTGCGCAACGCGGGCAATGCCTCAATGTCGCAAAACTTATTGTCTGAATGTGTCGGACCAAGACTAAGATCTTGCAAGGGGATCAACGGACCGTCGCCAAGCCAAGCAACATCAATCGCCATTCTGTACACATTGACAGTCCCAATTTGGTTGAAGCTTTAAGTGTTGGGGCCTGTTGAGAATTAGGGTTTTCCAGTCCTGGACATGTGGGAGGCTGAAACCTGCCGTGGTGTTTGTTCCGCCAATGTACCCGAAAATCGTTCTCCAGGTGAGGGTTTTGTAAGTGGAATTTGGCGGAGAACGTGCTTGTCATGCATCACCAAAAACATTTTAATTTGGAACTTTCAACTGAAGTGAACCGTACTGCCTTGCACCAAGGATGTGTCGATGCTCCTGGCTATGCAAACAGAGAGCAGGGTCGTGAGTCATGGATAAACGTTTGGCTTGATCGACTCAAGTCGCTGCCGACCGTGACGTGGGCTTTGACCCTCAGCAGAAGAGGCAACCTCCAACAATAAGGCCCGGTGGGGCCTTTCACACAACTGAGATTCATTCCGCTACTCTGCTTGCTGCAGTTTCTGCATTGACTGGAGTGATTCGGATGTCCGGGGCACTATAATCCAAGAACGCCCTGACATGGGAGGCTATGAACGTGCCGTGCGGCGAAGCAGGAGCATCGAGATCACCTGCTTGTCCAGAAACTTTCTTTTCGTTAGCTTAGCCTTCGCAGTGAAGCCACGGCTCAAATGGACCGAAATAAGGCGGCAACCATCTGAAGAATAAGCGATTTGGCCTCGCCTTGCATGAAACCAAACGGCTAGCGACTCAAATCCTTCCCTTCCTATAGACTGAGGCTCCGAACTCAGCAAGGTATCCGGCGTAGTTGTGAAAGCAGCCGGCCTTGCCAAGCACTGCTACCGTTGCCTTTCGAGTTTACCCGCCTGCAGCGTAGCAAATTCCTCGCGTCTTTGCAGACGCAGAGCAGTTCCCGCACCTCGACATCTGGTCTGGGCAGTGCTAACCTGAAACAAAGCGGTGCTGTAGGTGCAGCGTATGCTGCGAATCGATGCGTGGCCCAAGAAACGCACAAGGCAGAACAGGGCTCGCAAGTTGCGAAACATATCGTGCAAGGCGGTGCGCGGCCTTGTCAAGGGCTCCCCTTCTGGCTCGGGGACAGACCGTGCCAATTCACGCGTCTCGATGCAATGCTGTGTCCACAACACGGTGCTGTGCCATTGTATAATAACTTTGCGGAGCAGTCTCACTCTGGAGACCCGCCATGCACTGAGCAGCTCAGCCAGTCTACTCTGTGCCTGTGCTCGGCGCTGCGCCTGCGAGACCGTGCCCAAGCAGAAGACTCCCGGGGCGACCTCGAAGGGCACTGTGCTGAGCGAAACGCTCTCTTGTGCCCGTGCAAGGCGGCCTGCAGGGCTGTCGGACAAATACCAGACTTTGAAGAAAAACCTCAAGGCAGTGCGTCGCTGAACGCCCGAGGCGAGCCAGAGCAGTGCGGGGCTGATGCCCTCCATGGCTGTGCTATGCTAGGCTAGGCTGTGCGGAACATGGTATACCTGATGATTTGCTTATCTCGCTCTGACAAGTCCCAGAGGAAAGCACCATGGCCATGGTTGGCAGACGACGAATGTAGGAGCTTCCGTCGGTCTTCTAGGCACAAACAGCAAAGCAAAAACCCTGCGGGGCGTACCAGCGCGAGCAGTGCGGGAAAGCTCTGTGACCCAAGTGCCCGAAGACGGTGCATTAAGCACGGCACCTGTGGTTGCGTGCCGTTGTCCTTTTTTGCTTCGGAATCGTTTCAACCCACTGCTTTAGCATCCCATGGCCTTTGGTTCAAAGGCAACACAATACTCACAGCCTTGCCCCTCAACCCTGCAGTAGACTCCCGACCCTGATACCGGCAACACATGGCGGCGAAAAGACTACAGCCTGCAAAGCGGGGAACGATTCTGGGGGCCCACGGGAGGGCTGTAGACTTCAATCAGGCCTGTTAGACAGACAGGCCGTAAAGCTCAAAGCTATCACCCCAAAGTGACACGTAAGCAGTATTGGGGTAGGACGGCCAGCATGAATCACGGTTCTGCCACCTCTGACGAGTTGGGACTAGGCGCCTGCTTGACAGCAAGGGCCGGTGCTTTGTTTGGGTCAGACTGCCTTCATCTCTCATCTACCTAGTTGTCCGAGGATGCTTATCTGAATGCTGCGGAATGCTACGTTCGAGATCGCACTCTGAATGCACACTGCCTGTTCCGAGTTCAGCGCATCTACGGGACAGGACCCCACGCAGCAAGTCCGTTTTTGTTACAAGCGCTCACAGCGTGAGACAGGCCGGATTGGGACATCCCTTGAAAGAGGGCGTCTGCTGTTCGCCTTGCCTGCATGCGACAACGACAGCTTGGGCAGAGCTCTGGGGGCCTTTGAAGCCGGCGACTAGCTAGACATGAGCTTCTTTGGGTGTGTCGGCCTGGGGGGCTCTGCCTTTCAGGCTCTAGCGCTAGCGCACCGTGAACCGAAGCCTCACTTCTTCGCGAAGACGACTTGGTCAACCAGCTTCCGGCCCATGACCTCCCCAAGGACACGGCGTTGTCGCCGACTTCTACGGGAAGGCACAGGTAGGGCACTGCACCTGCCCGTGCTCGTTGACCGTGCCCGGCTTGAACCTCAAGGAGAAAGGAACCGAAAACTCAAACAAAGCCTTGTGATGGCTTCCTTTTCCAGAACTTTTGCTTGTGCTGTTGGTGACTGCAAACCGTTGAGTATGGCAGCCAACTAGGAGAAAGTAGTTGAGCCCAGCAACTTTGAGGCGGGGTGTGAGGCCAACTCTGGCGGCACCTGGCGCCCAGATGTGTGTCTCTTCTCTACAAATCTTGATTGCCCATTCTTCTGATGCATGCCAGCCCCACAACTTGATTTGAGCTCTTCAAGAAATTCGTGAGGTCATAGAAGATTTCGGAGTCCTGCGGCGCAGGAGGCACAAGACCCTACATCCCGGCGACAGCCGAGTAGCCTCCGGGGTGACGAATGAAATCGCCAATCCTCAGTCCATGTCGATTCGGATTGGGGATGACTTTTGAGCTGCATTGGCTGGGACCGCCTGCCTTTCAGACCTGCTCGGCCAGTTCGACCGATTCGGTGCGTGTAGTCCTGACGGCAGGAAAGGCCGCGAAGCTGCGGATCCACCAACTGGCTTCCCCCTGCCTCGATCGTCTTCGGCATGTCGAAGTTGATCACTCTCTGCACACCCTCGATGTCCAGGCCGCGCCCAGCCACATCGGTGGCCACCAAAATGTCGTACCTAGCGCTGGCGAGCGACTGGCCAGCTGCCTACCGTCCATGAATGCGCCCGCGACGCGAGGCACCTGCCCTCCTTGAAGGAGTTCATGGCCCACTCTCGTTGCTCCTGCAGCCACCGAGCCGCTGCTCAGAGCCACTAGAGACCGAACAACATCCTTCGCAGGTTGACATGATGGGTGTGGCTCCTGGCTCTTACCTCCATGGATAGAGCAAACTCTGTAGCCGTTATTGTCCAAAGACCTAAGTACATCGCACTACGATCCGCGCAGATCTGCCCTCCCCCAACGACTTGAGCTTCCGGCTTGGACAACACATCCACGGCCTTCTTCTGGTTTACAAAGACCTGGCAAGCCAGCCAGGCTGGTTATCGAGTCGGCGTCGGTGGCTTGCACCCTGCAGTCCGACGCCCAACCGGGTAGCCCTGCGATGATTGGCGGTTCAGCGCCGACAAGCATCTCCTCCAGACGCTTCTTCTTCTTGGCCTTGACGACAGTGATTTTGCAAAGAAGGTGTGCGCAGCCGCACAGAAGAGCAACAGGCCTCGCTGATGAACTCCAGCTGCTGCTCGATGTCCTTAGATGAAGCTTGAGCAGGAGCTTCCAGCGCCCGCCGGGCGCCGGGCCTTTTTCGCTTGCCCGGGATCACCGACATTGATGATGGCCGGACACCTCAAGTGTCCAAAACACTGGCAAAGACTCCTCCCGGCTTGCTCCTCAGCTCAGTGCCGCAGAAAACTGCGTGCCATTCGCTCGATGGCGGGCGGCATCGTCGCACTGACAAGAGTCGCAAAACGTGAGAGACTCAGTCGAGCTCCCCACAGCATCTCATAGGTGCCTGTACATCTGAGTGATTCGGTACTTCTTCTTGCCGACTTGGGCATCCTCCTCCTGCCAAGGCCACAGAGATGCCTGGATGAGGTCAAATCCTTCAAACCAAGCCTTTTTCTTCTCATTTTGGAGCTCGCTCCCGGTCCCTCAGCGTAAGCTCCCCGAATCGCAGACTTGCCTTTGCTGCTTGGCAGCCCAAAAGCAGGGGACGTCTCTGCCATCCCTCGACTCTGTCGAGGATGGCTCCTGCCCTCTCCGGCCTCTCTGGCCTGGCATTAACTGCCGGTGCCTTAAAGCACCAGCTGCTAGTAGGCTAGGAACGAACCCCTTTGGGGATCTTATGATCTTATGATGGCCTCATGTGGCCTCCTGTGTCATGGCATCGCGGCTTTCAGGCCCTGCTTCCAGCCAGCTCATGACCTCTCAGAGCGAACAGAGAAGAACCCTTCTTTAACAGCATCTCAGCCCAACTTTGCATGCCTCTTCGGCTGTCGGCCTCGCCGACGGCTCCTCCGAATTCCCACTTTTCACGGCTCAGGGCCTTTTTTGTGCCTCTCGGGCCTTCTTCAGGCACCGGTCCATGATCTCCACCTTCCCAGCGCCGCAGAGGAAAGCCGCGCTCCGTCTGAGCTCTGGGGATCCCGCCGCGCGCTTCGCGCGGGACTCTGCGGCAGCTCGGTCCGACAACGCAGGCCCCTCCCCTCCGATCAAGGCCTCAAGACCCGAGAAAAGAAAGCCAGAGTTGCCGCCTTCTTTGAGGGATCCTCACCGAGGCCCAGACTGCTTCCAGCTGCGGCAAGGTCAGGTCCTGCGGTGCGGCACTCGAAGGCGTCTGGCACCAGAAGAAGAGCATCTTCCTCACCATACGGTAGGCCCAACTCCAGCATCTCGAAGACCACGCAGCCGAGCGCCCAAATATCAGCAGCTGGGCCGTAGTCCTCACCTTGTTCTCAGAAGCACGACACAACGAGGAACCTTCACTTCTTTAGGATCCGGGCCTATCTGCGCTGCCACCTCTGGCCCGGCCTGTCGCGCTGCCACCTCTGGCGCCATGAAATGCGGCGTCTGCACCTCAGAAACCACAAGCGGCCAGAAACTGCCCTACTTCCTGGAACCCTAAAACCCTAAAACCCTAAACCCCCCCCCCTTAACAACCTGCCCCAAACAAGGTCCCCCATCCTCCCTTTCCTGCCCGAGTGCCACACCGGGGTCTGGGCCCGGCTCGCGGCCTCCGGACGGAAGTGAAAACGCGTTTGCACCCAAAGGCAGCTCTCCTTAGGGGTTTAGGGCTTTAGGGCTTAAGGGGTTCAGGGGTTTAGGGTCTTAGGGTTTTAGGGTTATGTCAACAACTGGCAGCTAGCAGCGACACAACGGTTACAACTATGAAGATGAAAGGCGAACCAACTTGGACCAACCTCGACCCCAACCATCTCCCCATCAGCACCGTATCGGAATGCCGCTTTCTCAGTGCCGACCAGCCACTCTTGGTGCTTGGAGCTTCAAGCAGGAAGGCTTGGGTTTGGGAATCTCACGGTAACAAACTACTTCGCCGTTTTGGCTTTAGCCAAGCCCTTCCACAAGTCGGCCCTGCACTGCCGCTCTATGAGGGTCCCAACCGGCAGACAGAAGCTGCAACATAAAATACACATGCTAGTGCACCTGCGCAGTGCAAATGCAACAACATGTTGCCCCGAAACCGGAGCCTTCGCGGCATCGAAATCGCCAATCTTCGCCGTCGCGGAGGTCAAGTCTAGCCCCTGCAGAGACCCGCTCCAATTGGAGGTGGAGGATGGGAGTCAACATCCCTGCAACACAAATCTAGACAAGCCTGAAGGCTCACCAGAACTGCGCAAAAGTGGCCTCGGCTCCAGCTTCTTCTGGGCAACACCTTTGCTTGGGGCATTCTGCTGTAGGAAAACATGGATGCATGCGTCCCTTTCCATGTCTGTCTGTACAATGCATGTATGTCTGTATGTATATATGTATGTATGTCTGTATGTATGTATGTATGTATGTATGTATGTATGTATGTATGTACATTTGAACATGTGGGCACACATACATGCAGGCAGGGTCTTACTTGACACCTGCGATAAGAAAGGAAAAGCTTGAGAACCAAAGGAACCTATGACAGGATGAACTGAGATAAGGCCAGATAAGACGGGAGACAATAGGATAGTTCTTGTTCTTTGGTTATAGTGATACTGTACCAACAGACTGTGGTAGAAAATACTAGAAGGACAAGATGCACGAGAACAGGAATTGCTTCGTGCTGCAAGCTGTTCCTTCAGACCCTGATTTGTGCCCAGTCCTCTTGGACGTGCTTGGCTGTGCCTTGCTGAAAAGCCGAAGCTTTACCAAAATTCGATGCTGCGCAGTCTTGCTGTAGCTACTGGAGCTGTCAGTGCCCCCGAGGGACAGCCAGATGTTGGCGGACTTCCTCAGCTCGGGGATTCAATGGGATGGGACACTGCATCGTTCTCAAGGTACTGCCAGAAAAGCGAGCTCTAGTCTCTAAAGTTACTGGCATGCATGGCGAAGCTTCAAATCCCGATGCAACACCCGGTGACGGTGGAGGTGCGCCAGCCCGGCTGCCACCTGCCCATGGCCAGGTTCTGAAGAGCTTCGAGCAACGAGAACGAGAATCTCCAAAAGGCCTATTTGGGGTTAGTAAAGATGTTTCTATGAGGTTCCACGGGGCAGTTGCATAATTATGGAACAAAGGTTGGGAGAGTTCGGTTTCTCGCCAAATTCTGCTACAACTCTCGCCCGGCATTTGAGCCCTGGTTCAACCATGCTTCGGCGAAAGAACGCCGCACACCTGGCTCAGCACGTGCAGGAGCTCGGCTGCTAGAAAGGGCTGTTGCCTCGGGATCCGTAAGCATTGAAACGAAGTCGAGCTTGTTCTGCAGTCTTTTCTGAGCTTCCGGCTGCTCATGACGGGACCGTATCACTGACTCCAGCGATGAGCTGCATAGCTCTAGGAGCATCACGTACGCCTCACAGCCGCCATCAAGGCTCAAAAACCTCGGACACCCCAAAACCCTGGCCTTGTGCTGGACACCGCTGTCCATATAGCACTCGGTGCTCCAAGCACCATGAAAGGCGACAATCGAATCATGCCTCAGATGTTCCGAGTTCAGGGAGGGTCTATGGAGGTTTAACTCGAGAAACAGCAGGCTATGCGTTGCAATGCAAGAGGGCTGCGAGGCTCTGGAGCAACAACAAAATCACAACATCCGGAATTAGACGAGGAGATGAAGACCTGCGAAGCCCTCTAGCGATCCGTTGGAGCTGCACGCAGGGCTGTTCGGAGCCGCGGCTTCACCAGACTCTACCCCAAATAGCCAAGCCACGCCGGCAATGACTTCATCATCTCCATTTCCTTGCCGAAGTCCTCACGAAAGCTTCAACACAAGACATGCAACCCGAAGCCAAACCCTCTGGGAAGGCTCCCCCTCGTCAAGCCCAAAGATCTGCAACACATCCACGCACCGGATGATTTGGTTTAATTAGCTTAAACTTATACCGCTAGTCTCTTCTGCTTAGCTGCGTCGGATGGGCTTGTTTACCCGGATGAAGTACGAGAGCCCCGCTCGCAATAGCAGTGTTCTTTTGCTCACCGTCGCTGCTGCTGCCCCTTGCAACTTGCCATTTTGATGACACAGCCGACAGGGCTCCGCAGATTTGCGTGCAGCGTGAGTGTAGCGCCCCTGCCGTTGTGGTCGTGCAGGGCCTCTGGGTGTCAAAGGGACCTTCCTTTTTCTAATGGCCTTTGACTTGTATCGTGGCTTCTTCAGGTCGTCACTCCGCGGGTGCAGAGATCTGTGCCAATGCAGAGGTTCTGGTGTCTCTGCTGTATCATTCCTGCACAGATCCATGCGGAGCCTGCTAGGAGATATCCGCTTTTCTGTAAGCCAGCGGCTGGCAGGCACCAGTGCCAAGTGCCGCCCTTAGACTAAGACGAAGTCGCCTGCTGCGATGGCTTCTGGCATTTTTCGCACCGCTGCACCGAAAATCCGCGCCAGTAGCTTCACTATCCATCCCATGTTACCTGCGCTATCTGACCACGTTTCTTCGAAAAAGGCCACAAGATGCTCTTTTGCGGCTTTGGTAGAGCTTGCTGTCCTCCAAGATCACGCGAGGCCGCCAGTGTTTGATGCATGCGTGAATGCGCTCTTCAGCCCTTTGGGCTGGTCCATCGTGAAGGCTTCTCTACCTTATCCATGCGCAGGAACGAGAAGCCCTTGGCAACCCAGAGTTCGTGTGCAAGGTGTTCGTCAGCTCTGTCATGCCCTCGACATCCTGATGTGTGGCCAAGCTTATGCCAGAGGCCACCCAGTCTGTCGTTCAGGACCCGTAATGTCGCTCAGAGTCGACGTTTGTCACAACGGCGTTGAAAACGTCACGACCCTCTCCAGCACTGCACTTCCCAAAGAGTCTTAACAGAAAGAAGCAGACCCAGGCGCATAGCGTTAAGATATGCATGTTGCCAACACTGCATGGGTTGCTTTCTGCCGTTTCGCTGCGACTGCTCATTATCTGCAGGATGTTTCTGCAACGCGATTCAAAAGCATTGCTCGGCAAGGATTCCGTCGTTGTTTTCTTCTTTTGTTATCCGGATAGCAGAAGCTTGCTTGCTTGCTTTTCTCGTTCCTGCTGCATCATAAGAGTTCCTTGATCGTATCTTATTGATGTTTGACAATATTGCTTTTCTCTGCGATGTTCTTCTCCTGCCGAAGCGCACATATCTGTCCGACCGCAGACTGTCTGCATTTCTGCACCTGGCATCCTTCAGCCAGGTAGCATAGGATCCGCGCATCGCAGAATTCAGACAAACGCGTTCTTCACCCTCGGTCCTCCACCATGTCGGGGAAAGTCGCCTTTCCCAACGGTAGCACCTCTCGAACCACTTCTGTGGTCATGCAATGCCCTGCGAGGGCGCGGCTAACGCGTGCAAGACTTTAACTCGTACTTTAACTTGCCCCCTCAATGGGCATGCCATCCTTCTCCCCGCCTTGCCCGCTAAGGAAGGTACCTGGGACAACAGCTGCACCAAGGGCCATGGGTACAGAGGGTACAGCAGGTACAGCACATGGAGCAAGTCACGTAAATCTTCGCAGTGAACCCAGAATCTGCAGCGAATCCTATGCCTTCCTTCGACCCGCAAGCGCCCTGCTGGGTGTATCCGCAGCCTTTTTTCTCTCTAGGGCCAAGGTACGGGGATCTGTGTGGATTGGCATCGATGGACGCTGCATCCGCTGACTCCTGCATTGCGCAAATTCCGGCAGTTCAAGGACGACCCTTGGAGAGCGAAGAAGAGCTGCGACTCAAAAGCCCCTGGAGGCATGGAAGCACGAGTTGTCCTCGGCCCAGCACCTCGAAAATGGAGAGGTGCCCGTCGCCACCTGACCCGAAGCCCCCCGAAGCCCGGAGGCCCAGCAGCAAAAACTGTGGTGTCAGACCGGTGTTGGTCTTAGATAAAGCTGACAAGCCAGATCAGAAAGCGGAGGTAGGGACTTGGTCCCTCTCTGCTGCTTGGCCCCCCTACGCCGCCATGCACATCGGTGCCCATGATGCTAACTTACCACTGTGAAGAGCGCTTACGACATTTCGCAGAACTTCGCAGCTTTGACGACACACAAGCTACAGTAGCTACAGTAGCCGAAGGCTTCTGGTGCTTGCGCGCGGGGGCGCGCGGGTCATCAAAAAGGCGGCAGCTTCTGGATGCCGAGGCTCCTGCTCTCCAAGTTCAGGTCCGGGAACCCCGAGGCGTCGTAAACCTGGGACCGGAGACCAGGTTCAATGCTCGGAAAGCCCTTCTCTGCCGGTTCCCGGGTGCCTCGGGCACGCCCGGCAGACAGCCCTCCACCTCCCGGCAGCTCAAACGAACCGGCAAAGCCAAACACCCAAGCCGCCGTGCTAAAGTTCGCCCAAGCCCCTCCACGGAACCTTGCGCTCGGCAGGGGCTTCGAAAACCTTGGGCTGACAGCTCACGAAGCAAGAGCGGAGCGCCCCCTCAACTCTCTCTCTATAGATCCCCTTCGAGCCCCTAAAACCTAAACCCTAAACCGGCCCTGAGAACCCAAGGCCCTCGGAGCCTCGGGCTCCTTGGGCTCCAGGGGCTCGGCCTCGGCAGAGCCGGGATTCGCTCGGGATTTTCGGGTTCTTGCGGGGATTTTTCGGTAGGGTTTGGGGGGGTAATAAGGGCTTGGGAGGGTATAAGGGTTTCGGGGTTTAAGGCTTGGGGGTTTAGGGTTTACGGGAGGCTGTAGAGGTGGTGGTGGGATTTATCGCTTCGTGGGTTATCGCCACATGGGCGGCTTGGGAGGAGGCTCTTGCGAATAGTACCACAGCATCTTCTGGAATCCAGCACAATACTGTATAAGCGCATGCAATATCCTACAGTACGGCGTCGTATGGTATCGTACCACACTGCATCCAACCGCACAACCTGCTCAGAGCTATACAACACTATCAACTGTAATATGATACTCCGCCAATTGCTTGATGTCGCGAACTTGTCATGCAGCAGTCACAGTCTTCTGCATTCCCAGCTCTGGCCTTCGTCCCGACCGGCTCATCGACGATCTTCTTCTTGGCCTCACGACCACGATCTTGACTTTCACAGTGCCGGGCCGCGACTTAAACGCTCTCGTGCTGTACAAGCGCACGTCAGGAGGTTTAGATGCCCTATTATCGGCAACAGGGCCAACCAGAGAATCTCTTTTTCAGACTTCGCAGAAGGATCCTCCGCACTCGGAAGACTACCGGCCGGGGCCGCTCGAAGCTCGCGACCTCCTCGACCTCGCGACCGGGACTGCCAGGCGGAGGCAAGCAGAGAGGGGGTGCTTGTAGGCAGGAAGACATTGTTACATATTGTTACATATGCCATGTCTTCTTTCCCCAGCTGATCGGCTGCTGAGAACGCATTGGGCCTGCTGACCGGAGGCTTCGTCTGACGCCCTCCAGCCCTGGCTCCTTGTGGCTCTGCACGGTCTGGGCCCCAAGCTGCCGGAACCTCCTAGCATGGGCCGCACGAAAAGTTCGAAGCTTCGGCTGGATTCGAGCTCCTGACGCGCGTCGGCTCGGTCTCTCCCACGCCTCACAGGGAAAAACATGATCCCTACCCCAGACGACAGCCGGGAAAGAAGGTCACAAGAGCTCACATGAGCGGAGACACCTTTGTTCCACGAATTCTTGCGGAGGCGGTAGCTGGGCGACCTCATGGCAATGCCTTCGTCGGCATGGAGATCCTGATATTGGACCAGCGGATGTTGCCGCGGTAGCGCGAGGGTGCGAAGAAGCCCCAACCGCCGCCGCCTTTGTTTGGTTCGAAAGACTGACTTGATGACCGACAGCAACAGTCTCGTGCAAAGCCAGCAGCCGAATCATCGTAGTTGCACTGAGCCCACTTGGAGTTCCCGGAGATTGCATCGTTGACATCTGAGTACAACTCGAACTGCTGATTGATCTTGTTGTTAGCAGACCTCCAGTTGTAGATGTAGCCATGCGCATCAAAATCATCCCGCTCCTGAATCTGCTTGTACAAAGACCACTCGTGGAAGGTGCTGCCATCGTTGCTCACTTCCATTAGCCACACGCCGCCGTTCTGCTTGAACAGATCATTGACGCAATTCTTCGTGGCATCAAACGTGACTCCGTTGTTGGCGGCAGTTCCCTTGTCCCAATCGATGATCTTCACAAACTCGGTGTTCTGTGAGCCGAACGACAGGGTGTCAAGACTGCCGCAAGAGGCAGGAATCGGCTCGTACTTGCATTGCGTGGCAGCCAAGCAATTGAATTTACCGACCCTCCTCTCCGACACATCACACTGCATGTACGTCGACTGGGAGGTATCCGTGTCAAAGCTCTTCCGGCACTTCTCCTCCGCCTCTGCCGTGCTCTCTCCACTCAAGGTGTCACACTGCCACTGGTCCTTACCAACGGCTTTGACCAAGCGCGTGCCCTCGCATTTGGGGAGATCGTCAGCAAGAAGCGACAGCGAGGAGTTGCCCCTGTCGGAATGGAACTTGCGCCCGGCCACACAAGCGAGGCACGCCAGCGCTGCAAGCAGCGCCGAAGTCTTCATTGCTCTATAGGCCCAGGCCACAGATCCTAGGTCCTAGAAACTCGGCGATCTGGTATCAGCCGATAAGCTTGCAGGGTTGATGTCTGTGAACGAGGCTTCAAATCCAAGTGCAACACCGCATGTGCCGAGCTCAGCCTGATGGTCCTCTGCAAATCAACTCGAGTTGCTCAGGGAGCCCTCTCCTGCGACCAAAGAAACAAACAACTCTCCTGGGATGTCGGAAGTCTTCGGGCTCGCTGTGTTTATGCACACACACACACAGAGATGTGATCGGGGAGCAGAGTCGGGCCGAGACTTGTGGGGCAACAGAAGCTTCGGCTCCTTCAGGGAGTGGCCCAAGACCAGGCCGGTGAAACAAAGGACTAGCCCATTCTCAAAGGCCAGGACTGTGGTTCCTCAGGTGACGGCACTCTTTAAAATTGTGCTTTCTGTGACTTCGATGAGTTTCTTTGGTGGTGGCGGGTACTGAGAGGATTTGGGATGGCAGCCGTTTCTTGGGATCGAGTCTGCTGCACGAGCGGCAAAAGCATAAAAGCAGTGCCTGCCGGTGTCAGCTCACAAAGGCACCTGAGTCTTGAGGGATCTTGAATATCATGCACTGGGAGCCAAGGGACCAAGGGAAGTAAGGGCGCCGCCGTGTGGCAAATGACCCCCCCCGGCTGACTGCCCTTGAGCCGACTCCGGGGTCCCGGCGAGCAGACACAGGAACGATAACAGAATATAGTATAACATAATATAACATAGTATATCATATTATATTATATGATATGATATATTTTCTACAATAAAATATAACATAATATATACCTTCTCTCAAGTCTCGTGGCCATGAGCTCTGGCAGGCTCTAGGCTTCGGGCGGCCAAGCAGCAGCAGAGACGCCCAAACATGATTCTGGGGTGTAGCGAATGTCCCGGACCAGCTTACGTGAGCTAGGAGCTTGTCTTCGTGCGAGCTTCTGCGAACTCATGCCTGGCGTCCTAGGGTCAGAGGCAATGCAACACAAGGTTTTCAGTCTTCTGCTACAGCTCCGAGCTGAGCAAAGGCTGTGGATCTGGACTTCGGACTTCCTTTCGTCTGGATTGGGGCCGTTTAAAGGGCATCCTGGGCCTGCTGAGAGCCAGCACGAGCAGATGCGACTACCTCTCCAGAACTCGAATAAACACTGCCAGCGTGTGGCCCGAATGGTCTTGACAACGAAACCTGCAATGGTCACAGCAACTCTCCTGCTTCTCGGCGTCATCCTCCTTGTCCGCCTTGTCGAGATTATGCATGGGTTATATTGGCATGCCAGCTGCGCCCTCGCCGCCCCACCACCGCCAGTCTCCCACTCCACTTTCCTCATTGCTGTTTGCAGCTGCATCTGTCGGCTCATGCAAGGCGAGGAGTAGAGTATGGCCGGCCAGCAGAAACTCTCCGTGTCTCTGTCTTCAGTCTTTTGCTATCCGATCCTATCCGGGCGAAAAACAATGAGAGGACCCGGACCTTCGGACCTTGCACAGAGAAGCTCACGAGAGGCAAAATGCCCATGGTTCCAGGCCTTCATGTTGGAGGCTGGGATGGCGAGGAGCACGCGGCGGACGTAGTCCTCCCCAACTTCAGGCGCTGGCATAAAGTACATGACATGCGGAATGGAGTGCTATCAGTCAGGTTCTGGGCCTGTGAGGCCCGTGAGGCCTGTGAGGCCTGTGAGGCCTGTGAGGGTTTGGGATGTCCATATTATGGTATGTTATAGTATAGTATATTATAGTATATTATATTGTATTACATTATTTTATATTGTATCGCATTATATTATACTAGATTATATTATATTATGTTATATGATATTATATGATATTATATGATATGATATGGTCCCAAAGAAGGTAAAGGATGCAGGAGCCGACAATGCCGGAGGTTTTGCCCTGCCCTCGCCTCGAATCCGAGGTCCACCATCTTGTCCGCCTAGGAGCACAGGGATTTGTAGGGTTTAGGGGTTTAGGGTTTAGGGGTTTAGGGGTTTAGGGGTTTAGGGGTTTAGGGTTTAGGGGTGTAGGGGTTTAGGGGTTTAAGGGTTTAGGGGCTTAGGCTTTAGGGGTTTAGGGTTTAGGTTACTGAGAAGAAACTGCAAAGATCTGCAAAGCTTGACAGGTCTGGCCTCATCGATAACCACGTAGGTACACTGGTTGAGCACCGTATGCCTCAAGGCACTGCTTGCCCGGTCATCTACTTGCAGGGGTCAGTCCTTCCGACTCTTACAAGGAAGAATCAAGCAGCGCCTCTTGTCGAGGGAGTCACAAAGACGACCGGGCGTGGCCTTTGGCAAAGGTCAGAGCCAGCCCCTTCGCAAGGTCTTCTGCTCACAGCTTCGGAACTTTCCCTGAGGCGTCAACCATGCAAACTTCCACGCCCTGCCGCAGAGTGAAGGCCTGCGCTCTCGTGCCCTGTATTTTCGAAGCTTGCCAATACGCCCAGCCCAATGTCCAGCCTGCTGCTCCGCATCTCTGCCACCCACGACACTGACCATCCGGCAATCGCAGAAGGCGGCGAACTTGCGAGCCTACTTTAAAAAAAAAGGGGTAGCAAAAAAGAGCAAGAAAAGAGCTCCAAAAGCACTTGGAAGGCCGATGATCCACCCTTCTTTGCCTCTTCCTCGATCTGGATCACCAGCTCGCGGCTAGGCGCCAGCACGATGCCATAAGGCCCATCCTGCGGATGTCTTCCGACAAAGCGGCAGCGGCAGCATGGAGATGGATGAGATGGAGAGCTCGCGGTCCTGTGCGCTCGTGTCATCAAGCTTCGGGAGCTTCTTGACGTAGGACCTCGTGACTGTCAGCGTTGCTGAGTCTTTTTGGACTGGCCCCTTCAGAACAAGAGCCATGTGGGCCCAGACAGCATCGGAAGAACATAGGCTGCCGTCTTGCCACTGCCGGTCCTCGTGACTCACCGATTGATTCACCGCTTGCACAGAGAAGTTGAAGCAATGGATGCACTGGGAAACCGACTCTGCCACTGCAATGAGATCGCGGCACTGGCAAGCAATCGGAATCGCCTGGCTCTGTCTGAGCAACAAACGCAAAAGCAAAGCAACGCGGGCCGTTAGGCCTTTGACTTTAGATCGACCGGCTTGCAGACAGACCACACTGCAATCAAAAAGCTTGGCAAAGTAGTTGATGCACGATGCAGCACAGCTCCTGCAAAGCCCTAGCCCTCATCACCAGAGAGTGCTTGTAAGTTTGACTGACCAGACAACAGATATGGAGGTGACATTCCGAAAGATTCGACTCGCTCGCACACATCCGTATCAAAAAACCATGATTTCGTCTGTTTGCGGGTCTCAGGATTTGCTCAGATACGCATGACTGCACGTACTTCTTCAGCAGCTTGGCACAGGGAACGTTCCACAAACCACGACTTCTTGCGCCTGCATCTGGATGGGCGTGGGCCTGGCATAGCCCACCTCGTCGGTCGACGTCTTCAAGTCTTCTGAAACTTCTACGTGGCGCTCTATTGAGGCGTTGGCTTTCGTGACGGCTTCTAGCAGCTCCCAGGGAAGCGGACCCTCAGACCAGACCCGCATGGGCACGGGCCTCAGGGAGATGTAAGTTATAGCATGCATCTTGGCACGCCGCAGCAGTTCATGAGCAGGTGGCTCCGGTACTCTAAGGTTGCCGCACGCGCCCTCCGCGAATGAAGATCTGAAAGTCCTTCCAAACGGAACTGGCAATCCAACAACCAAGACTAGCGACAGCTATTTGCACACCGTGCTGCCAGACGTAAGACAATAATTAGACGCGAGCAACAGCGGTTGACTACTGGCACCGGTATTGATCGCAACACTAGTGACGGAGAAAAACCAGCAGCAGGCAGCGGTGCACGTTGCTGCATGATGGCGGTCGATATGGTCATGTTGGTGTGGGAAGCTGTGGCAGTGACGGTCGTAGCAGAGTCGTGGCAGCAACATCTGAAGCAGGAGGAGGAGGAGGAGTGGTGATGATCGCATAGTGGTAGCAGCAGCAGGAGGAGGATACGGAGGAGTAGGAGTAGGAGGAGGAGGAGGAGTAGCAGTGGCAGTAGAAGCAGCACCAGAAGCAGTAGCAGTAGCTGTAGCAGTATCAGTTGCGGCAGCAGCAGCAGCAGCAGCAGCAGCAGTAACAGGAGCAGTAGCGGTGGCAGCAGCAGAAGCAACAGCAGCAGCAGCAGCAAGCAGTTGGAGTTGGAGTTGGAGTTGGAGTTGCAGTTGGAGTTGCAGTTGCAGTAGCAGCAGCTGGTGCATAGGTACATGCAAAAGTGCCCCACTCCTCACGGAAGATGCGCCAGTCACGAGTGGTCATCTCGGCCACCGGCTTCTCTGTCCAATGCGTCTGGCAGGGGCAGCCGGTGCAAATGTGGTGTAAAATTCAGGCAGCCTGAGTCTATAATGTCGCCCCTGCGTACTTGCATGGTCATGTGCAGGACCGATTTGCAAGGCGCCGGCCTTGTTGATGTCCTTATCCTCGATGTCCCGCTGCTTGAAGGACAAGGGCTCCTGCAAGACAGTGCGGAGGCTACAAAGCACTTAAGCTAGGGGAGGGAAAGAGCTTCCGCTTTCAGTCTCTGGAGCTCCTTGGAGGGCTGCACGAAGGCTGACACGTCCTGAGCGAAAAACAAGGGGAGGCAAAGCAAGGCCCTCGCGAGCTCGAAGGCTTCATAGCTGTTAGGTTTCGGGGTAAAAAAACACGGCATCTGAAGCCCTCTTCTCTACCTCAAAGGGGCACCTCGCCAGAGTACTCCGCACGCTTGGCGATCAGCTCTTCGTAGAAACTCGGTTCCCGCACAGTTCTACCCGTCCCGGCATCCAATCCCATGTGTGCTCTGCCGCATACCACAGCACGAAAGACGAAAGCGACTAGAGCCTGAAGCCCTAAAATCCTGAGCTCCGAGGAGCATGCCTGTTGTTCTTGCGCTGCTCTCGGACGTCGATCCCGGCGCGGTAGCCGCGACCTGATCTCAGAAGTCTCGAACCTCAGAGACTCGGAGAGTTTCTCTGGGAGGCTCTGAGAGGATCCGGCCGAAGAGCAGCTGCGGCTCGAGGCGCTTGGTGTAGAGCCTCGGCCGGGTGATTCGCAGATCTCACAGGAGCTAGAAATGGCTCCGGGACCCCGAAATCTGTGGGGTGTAAGGGGCAGTTTTGGGCAACCCGGCGGATTGTTGTCACCTCGCATGGTGTCGTCGTCGGCGTTCCACCTCACAGCGGAGGGGCGGCTGCCCACAGCCAAGGCCAGGAAGGAATGAGGCTCCCGACTCGAAGTTGAAGATGTTCCTGAACTTTTCGGATGGCTTTTGCATCTTCTTCTTGTTCTCCTGGCATTGCGGGGAAATGTGAAGCCCTTCACAGGGCATGAAAGCCAGAACACAAGGCGCCTTCATGCCAAGATAGTGGCGCTTGATCAGCTCGAGCTCCTGGTCTCAGGGCACATCTCTCCGCCTCTTTCGCCCTTCTGTCGCTGCCTTCTCGGCTTGTCGCTCGCGGCGTTCTTGGTCAGGAAGCTTCCTAGCACCGCAGAGTCCAGCTGCAAGCACGCAAAGGAAGACGTGAGCGGCACGAGTTCACCCATAGAAGCATGGACCTATTCATGGTCTGCATGCAAGTGGCAGCAGGTTCATCTCCGCGAGGGAGCTCGTCTGCATCAAGCCTTCCTGTTCTGGGTTCTTGTTAGGCGATCTGATTTAAGTTACCATAATAAGGAAACGATTTCATTTACTATAGATCCCCATTATGGCAACATAAAAATCCCTTAAAGAGTGTTCTTCCCAGCCCCGCAGCAAAGTCTGCAGTGCCGCAACAAAGCCCGGCCCCCCCGGCCTTCTCCTCGCGCTGCTTCAGCCGCTCCTTCTCGCGCTCTTCGCGCTCCCGGGCCCGCCTCAGGAGCAGAGGCACGGAATTTTGCGTGCTCCGGAAGGCACCCTGCACACTCCGGAAGTGCCCTGAGCTGCTCTGAAGTCGCCCTAAGCCCCTGAGCTGAACTCCAACCCGAACATCTCTGACTGGGACTTCGGACTCCTCCTCTCTTCGCTTGCGCTCCTTCTCGCGCTCCTCGCGCTCCCGCTGGCCTGGGACAGACTCAACCCAAGATCAGGCCGGAGCACAGCCTCGCCCCAGGCTCCCCTCTGCCTCCCCGGTCCCCTCCCGAGCGCAGGCCACACGCAGAGTGCCCGACGCTCGCGCTCGCGCTCGATTTCCTCCTGAAGCAGAAAGTCCTGCACCGAGCAACTCACTCAGCATGCTGTGATGTCCTGTGAATGGAAGAAAGGGGAGAGAAGAATCCGTCTCACTGCTTTCTGCGCAAAAGAAGCGATGAGAGCGATGAGCCCCTCAAGCTGCAGGTGGTCTGTTCCAGAGCACCTGCAAACTTTGCCCTACGATCCTACAGGATCCTACAGGCATCCTAGACGACCTCACTCGAGCCCATGCTCTGATTCTCCTGCTTCACTTGCCTTGCGGCCGCCCGCTGCTGCTGTCTCTCCTTGGTCACCACGATCCGCTTCACCCGCCGAGCATTCCAATCTCTCACTTCCTCCCAGCAGTCCCAGACCACTTCGCCAGACTGCGGGATGTAGACCTGGCCCTTGCGTCCTCCACGGCTCGCCTCTTTGTGATTTCCCGTTGATCTTTCGAAGGTCTGGTCGGAATCAACGGGCTGGGCCACGAACAACGGAGCCTCGGGGAGCAAGATTGGAAGCTCATGGTCATCTTCTTTGACAGGCTGCCTATCTTTATTGCTGCGCCCTGAACCCTTGCAGCCAAGCCACGACGCGCTCCTCTTTGAAGATCACGCGCGCTCCCCCGACGACCTTGATGCCGTCGTTCTCCCGGTGGGTCCAGAGCATGTGGTTGGGTGGTGGCACCAGGTTGACGGCGTGAGGGGCCACTGGCTTGTGGTGGTTCCGGTGGCTTCCCACTTGCCGCGGGGGAGCGGACCATGTTGCAACGCTCGCAGGGTGCGGCTGGGGCTCTGCATCGGGGTCGACCACGCCGCAGACCAACATGTCCTTAGTGTCCGCGAAGCCTCGTGAAAGCCAGGAGTTGCCCGGCATGGCTGTGTAGATACCGACTCCATGGGCTGAGCCGTTGGCGACGCGGACGCCGCTCTCGTGGGAGGGCACGCGAAGTCCCTGCTGGAGTATCGAAGGGATGTTTGCCGCTCGGGTGCCATGGTATCCGAAATCTGGAGATCCATGCGTTTCGCACTCCTGCAAGAACTTCTGCTTCACGGTTGGTGCCACATCCGCAGGAACGAGCTTGTAGCCTTTGCCCAGCTCTTGCTGTAGCACTGGCCCATGAACTTCCAAAAACTGCTCTCGCATCGCCTCGAATCGGTCGGGCTTCGCTGCCCGCTTCGACGGCCTCTCCTTCTTGGAAGCCTCTGCATCGCCTGCTTCGTCTTGCTCCCACTCCTCTTGCGCCTCGGCCTCCGCTGCGGCCACCGCCAAAGCCTTCACCTTCACCTCGGCCTGCGACGGGATGCGCTGGCGCAGGAGCGCGTCGTCCACGCGCCAGCGCTCCTTCGGCGGCGTGCACCACCGCGGCGGCTCCTTGTCCTTCCGCTGGACCTTAGGCTCAGTCACATCTGCGAAAGCAGGCACATTCCCGTGCGCGGAGGCCTCCCTTTCGTCCCAGATATCTGTCTCCGTCCGCTCAATGCTGGTGCTCACCGTGCGTTGACCAGGCAGCACGCGAAATACTGGGACGGGGACCTGGACGGCGGGAATGGTTACAGGGACGCTCACGGCTTTGCCAAGCCTTTTCGTTGCAAAGCTTGCAGTATGAGGCCCGTGGTGCTCCGACTCAATTTGCCGTGCTATGGTCCCCCCATGCTGCAGCTGGGCACGCTGAGAGGGTGACAGGCCTAGGGTGTTTGCCAGGTCTTCAGCATTCTCAACCAACTCAGCGAGGCTGCAAGCACCCTGCTCCTGCGCCCAGCGCTTCGCTGAGAGTGCATAGGCCTCCAACCCGAGAGCCCGCAAGAACTGGGACAGGCCTGGAACCGGACCTTGATCCATCTCGATCGCCTTGCTCATTCCGGGGCCCACCGTGCTGTACCGGGTCAGCATTGGCGGGGAAGGCGCCGCGCGCAGCAGCCGCAGGCCTTGCCTCACCTGGCACGGCTGCGACGGCTGCGAAGGCTGCAGCGATTGCTGCGGCTGGTATGGTGGGGCAGACGCATAGAAAACAAGGGGCCCCTTGCATGGGCCACCCCTTGAGGGTGGCTGGAAAAGCATCCTGACTGCCCACCGTCCGAGCTCGCGCTACGAGTCTAAGCTGAGCCCAGCAGTTGGGAATCGCAATCATCAGAACAAGAACAACAAACCGGCATGTCTGTGCCTGCATGTGCCGTCACACTATGCTGGAGGTTCACCCCCCGAAGTTCTCTTGGTCCTTGCGTCGCTTCGAGGCCTCCTCCGCCTACAGTGGCAGTGCTCGGAGCGACAAGTACTACCAAAGCATATCACTTCTTCCCCAATCCTCCCCCCTAATACAAGGCCCTCAGCTATCTGCACGCCTTCTTTTTCTGATCGGCTTTCTGCTTTTCTTGCTCCTTCTGTGTATTCCTGATGGTTTTCAGGCGTGCCACTGGAGACGCAGACGGATGCGACTTGACAAACTCATTGTTCAAAAACCAGCTGCGAAGCGACGTGCGCGCTGAGTTCCGAACTTCTCGCGGTCGCCCTTGGATACAAACTTCAGCTTTGGAACCTGACGAGTTCTTGGACACGGCCCAGCGGGGCAAAGTCAGGATCAGATGGAATCTCAGGAGTGTTCGACTGCAGGACTAAGCTGGGTAAGACTTCTCAGCACTCGGGGAAGAAAAACTCTCTACTCTCGAGCTCAGGAGATGTGAGGCCATTATCGTCATTAGCCCCGGCCTTGTAGCTGCAAAGCAATGGTCGTCAAAAAATCTAGGGCTCCGAAAGACTTCCGAGCATTCTCGCGCCTTGCTCTCCTCCTTCCGCTTGGCCAGCACTTGCTCAAGTGACATGACCTACAAGGCTTCAAGAGAACGGGGTCTCTCTGGGACACTGCAGCGAAGCGCATGGGGCCGCCGGGCCTCACCCTTGTCCCCCTTCTGCCTCTTGGCATCTGCTTCAGGGCCTAGGCAACCCGGCGCGTTGTTGGGCGTTGAAACGGCTGCTTCTCATCATGTGAGCTGCCCTGAGCCACATGTCAACTTCCCCTCTGGGGGCAACATACGCAGTGTGCCAGCACGTCTAGAGTCTAGACCATCAAGGGTCATAGCATACTGCACTATGGCCACAGCCGTTGTCAAGACACACAGCTTCGTACATCGCAGTCATGATGATCGCCGCCACCAGCACCACCACCACCACCACCACCACCACCACCGTCATCATCACCGGCAGCAACAATCATCATCATCATCAGCATCATCATCATCATCATCACCGTCATCACCGTCATATACTGTCCCATAGCAAGGGATAAGATTCAGCAGTGACTCGGTGGCACCTGGAGTCACGGCAAAGTAGGCGAACCTTTGCCGAATCCGAAGGCCCGCCATTCGTCTCTCCCGGTTTGCATCCTGAAGAAGGTGGCCAGCATAGCGCCACAGGGCTGAGGCATACCTCGATGCTCTCTGCAGACGGCGCTCCCGTGAACGGGAGATCGATAATTAATGCCGAGTCTGGCTGCTGCCATTGCAGATCCTGCTCCTCCTCGGGACCAGGGGCCGCCACAAAGATCATAGTGGCACCCTCCATCTGCACATCCTCGGGACATCGGTGGATCCTCCATCGTAACACCTGTGAGAGAAATACCCATGACATGCTGAATGAATAGTTTCTATGCCAACACAGACTACCTCAAAGCCTAAGTAAGTCCAGGGCCTGGTGTTAAACTACACCGGCTGAAAGAGGTGGCCACTGGCCGAAACCCGAGGCCTGGACCATCGCTCTTGCGCTTGGCATCCTTTCAAGGTTCTGTCGGGACCAAGGCTTGAAATTACATGGCTACATAGGCTACAGGGCTTCCCTTTAAAGAGCCCCTTTCCGTGTTGCTGAAAGAAAGGGCCTTTAGGGCAGCTTCCTTCGCAGCCTTGCCCTGGTCTGCATATTGCTCATGTATGTCATAAGACCATTTACGTCCTGTATCAGTATCCCATGGGTGTGCCAGGGGATGGGGTTTCTGGAGAGGCGGCGCATACGTTATATCTGCAATGCACAGTCAAGCAGACAGCAGACATGTCTACTTCTATTCTCACGTGCATACACTTTATGCTCATTGTGTCTTGTGCGTCTGTATGCATGTACGCGCATGGGTCCGTGGGTGCGTGGGTTGCGTGCTTGCGTGTGGGCGTGCGCGTGCTCACGTAAATCCACACGGTACAGCAGCACTTGTTCATACTGTCCTTGTAACCTTTCCTCCCTCGGATACACATGGGCACGGCTGTTTCTGCGCGCATATGCTCTGTCAGCGTTCTATGTGTCGCCCTGCAGGAACCGAGCTACGCAGACCTCGGCCATGTCTCCGGGGGCGGCCTGAGCAAAGAGGGGGACTAAGCAGCGGAAGAGGGTTTAGGGTTTAGGGTATAGGGTATATAGGGTTTAGGTGGGTTTAGGGTTTAGGGGATCTTCGATCTTCGGGTACAGTAAGCGGGCGTTGCTCTGGGGGATTCGGAAACAAGGCCCCCCCGAAGCCTCGAAGAGGGAGCAGCGCCGGGCCAGGCGATCCCCCCTCTTCTTAAAGCCAGACTCTGCATCGCTGGGTTCATGCGATTTTTGGATTCCCAGAGTTTAGGGCTTATAGGGTTTAGGGTTTTGCGATAGGGATTCCCGAGAGTTTAGGGTTTAGGATAGGGATTCCCCTCCCTTCCTTGGAGGACCCTTTTTGTCGTGGCTCCTTGAAACGGTATGGCCCTTAAGGCGATCTCCGAAAGCAAGCCCGGCGCATCTCAGATTTTCTGAAGCTCCCGGCACTTCCTGGCTGACGGCTTCCGCATTGGCCGCCAGCCGCCAGCCAAGAAGGCTAAACACGGAAAAAGACAGCGAACAAGCCGCCTTTCCTCGGTCCTCTCAGACTCTGTCTGTTTGGAACGACATCGAGACTTGGTAGACTATACTGTACTGTCACATGCGGCAACAACCTCAACGTCAGGCCCCTTTAAGGCCTGCTTGACTGCGGCAGAGTTTGAACTAACTTAGGGCTCTCTCCGAACCCTCTTCGATGACATCTGGGCCAGCTGCGTCAGCAACATCCTTTTCACTTCCTCGCCCCGACAGTCCCCTTTTGAGCTCGCCCAGCGCTGCTAGCATGCAAATCTGGCCTTGACAAGAGGGCCTTCGAATTGGTGGGGAAGTCAATGCACGAGCGGGGGAGCCAGGTGCTTGTCGATGCGGATCGGCATCTCTGACACGTTGGAACCTGCAGTGCGAGAAGCGGAGAACACCACACAAGCGTCGATAGAATTGCGATCGATTCAGGACGCCGCTCTTGCTGACGTTGCGATGAAGCCTTGCGCTGTGGGCACAGGAGGCTCGCGGAGGGGAGCCATGCTTAGGCCCCGTGCCCTTGGCCGGAAACTGTCTTGTGTAGTTTGGTCAAGCGGGTGCTGATTTCCTGCGCTGAGCCGACTGAACCCCTGAGCTAAGCCCTCGAGGCCCCTAAAAGTTTGTCCCTCCTTGGTGGCGTTCCGGGCAGCCCATGTCTCCGACTCTGTCCCTGTGACGCCGCTGTCTGGAGAGACCTCTCATACCAACGCTGCAGGCAACTGGACGAGAACGAGAAGAAGGCCTGGCGATTGGGGAAGGTGGCCTTGCAAACCACCTGAGAGCAATCTAGATTAGTGCCCTCTCGCAGCTCACCGGCGCGGAGCTGCGTGCAATGGCGCCCGGCCTCGCAGAAATCCTTCAGATGCACAGACGCCTGGAGCAGGAGACAGGACGAGAGAGAGAGAGAGAGAACGACAGAGACAGAGAGCGAGAGAGAGACAGAGGCAGAACAACAGAGAGAGCGAGCGAGCGACGAGACAAAGGAACCGTACCGCATTAAATGACTCTTGCGGTGCTGCCTTTCCGTAAGGACTTCCGTCTTGAGCCACCCGACCGATCATGTCCTCGAAATGGGAATCACATCTTTTCAAGCTCTTGGCCCTGGTACTCAACGCCGAGCCTTCACCTCGTCGTCAGAAAAGCTGATGGGGGTGATCTCCCGGAAGGCCGCCTACCCAGGAAATGTCGGTGCTTCAGAAGTTCCCCCTTGCTGGACAGTCTGCGATTTTCTGCTGGCCCCTTATAGCCCTAAGCTTACATTGTTTTCGAGCCAGTCTTCTATCTCTTTCTGAGTGCGCTTAAGCCAGCTCCCAGCACCCACACGAAGTGTCAGCGCTTTGCTGGATACCACCGCCACCAGACCATGGACGTGATTATGGTTCGGGCGCGGATGCTCTGGTAATCGGATGAGGACTAGGTTTCAACCGTGAAAACACTGAAATCGCGCAAAAAAAAACTCACGGTCACACTGGGTGACGATAGCTCTAATCTCCGATTCATTATCATGAGCACTGTCATCGGTCTCATCAACATCATCGTAAAGTTGCTTTGTCCTAGTCTCGACAGTCCGCGAGCCGTGAGCACTGAAACGAAACTGCAAGGACCTTGACATGGCACGCAACGATGCCCGCCTCAAGTGTGTCGATCTCGATGGAATCCTTCTCCCCCGCGAAGTAACGGAAGGCACACCTTGAGCGAATAATGGAAACCACTCAAAAGCCGCACGGACCCACAACAACGCAAAATCACTCATAACCGTCGTGGCCATGGTCGGCGGCAGCAAGAGCAGAACAATAACCAAATCAACAATAACCCAAACGATTGAAGTCACTGTTGTGAAACTTGTGTGCGTACGCTTGCTGATGCTACGTACTACCACCTGCACAACCTTCACCACCACCATACTATGGCCTATGGCTGCCGCTACCACTACCACCACTGCTGCCATCACAACCACTTGCCTGCTCCATCTAATCTGGTGTCACTGCCACCGCCGATACCACTACGCACCACAACATCAAAGTGCAGACAAGCACGCAAACCGCAGCAAATCGCATGCCGCATGCCCTTTGTCTGCGACAAAGCGGCTCGAGGTCTCCGACTGCCCGCATCCGGTCCGAGCCAAGGCTTGCCTTTCAGGGAGGCGGGAAGGCAGCCATTGGGCAGTGTGAGTGCTGCCCGGCTACCCCTCGACCCACCTCGTAGGCACGCAGGAAGTTCTGGAAAGAAATCCTGTCGCAACGAGGCAGGTGTGCCCAGCAGAATCTCCGAATCGAGACTTGCAGACGAAGAGCTGCTTGTTCGGAAAGCAGTCGACCAGCAACTTCGGCACCTCAGATAACATCGGTGCCAGCTGCACCTGCAGATGCTGGGCGGTCCAAGCACCAAGCATCCACGCTGAAGTTACAGCGAAGGTCCAGACCTTGCAACGCAAGGGACCCGGTCCCAGGAAAGACTTTCAGAATGTGTGGCGAGTCCTACAGTATTAAGGCCGGTGCAAGCTTCTTCCAAGTCCCGGCGATGTATGCACTCTTGCCGGTCGCGGTCGAAGAACCTACTCTGCAAGACATGGCGGCTGAGTTGCAACAGCACGACGTGCAGTGTCAGAAGTCATTCCCTGCTCCTACTCCACTTGGTACAGTTTTGTATAGTCGACACAATCGGTTGTGGGGATGTTGTGATGCATGTTGCTATCGTCATCCTTGTCCTCTGTGCTGTTGTCAGCACAGCTGTCTCTGCTGGCATCCGTCGCGATGCACAAGGTCTGGTGGCCGTGTCGTCTTTCCGATAGCGGGGACGCATTGCATGCTCTCAGCTGCTTTGATCATGGGCACTTGGAACCTGTAGGGATCCGGCTCGAAAGCATCACGGAGCTCCTCGTCCGTGAGTGGATGGACCTACGCCGTCTTCCGTGGCGGACTGGACGCTCCGAGGGCTCCAACTCAGGCCTTCTCCCGGCCCGCCACGCACTCCAACCAAGCCCTGAGAACGGCAATCCCGGATAGGAAGAAAAGAAAACTGCCCCAAAAAAAGGGGTGAGGAGACATTATGCCTGGCGCAGTCGCGGTGCTTCTCGTAGCTGTCCTCGCGGGCTTTTCGGCACAGGACGTGTGCCGCGGCTTAGAGTGCCGGTCCTTGAGGGTGAAGGTGACGAAGACGGGGAAGTGGTCTGAGGGATGGTCCTCGTTTGGGATGACCTGTTGCAAACAAAGCCCCCGAGGCCGCCAATTGCTCCACAAAAAAGCTCGGGGGCCCCCCTTTTCTTTTTATTCTTCGCACTTCTCTTCTCCCTCAGGAGGCTCAGAGGCTCCACAGTCCACAGTGCTCCGGAGAGCACCGCCCTCGGCTCGCAGAGAGGCTCCAGGAGCGCCCAGGTCAGAGCTCAACTGGTCCCTCCTCGAACGCCTGCTCGGACCTGCTCCCCAGGTCGAATCTCGCTGCCCTCGTCCCAGGCTCGGATTCGGATCCGTTCGGAGCTCAGAGTCGTCCTAAGAAGCTCTGGCACACCAAGTAGACTTCCACGCTTTCACTCCTCGAGGCCTTCGGCTTGGCGGTCCTCACCTGCACATGCCGGCTCTCGTGTTGCGCAAGCCTTGCGCTCCCTTTGCCCGAGCCTTTGCAAAGTGCTCCAGGAGCTCTGCTTTGAAGTTTTGCAGGGCCCCCCCTTGGAAGACCTTCAGCACCTTAAGCCCACACGTCACAACGCTGCAGTCCGAAAACAAAAAACCCTCTCGGCGGACTCATGGGAGAAGAGAGGCAGAGCTGAGTACTCCCTGGCCGAGGAGCAAGGCAGCCCTCGGCCCGCAAAAACTTCCTCGGAGAAAAAGCGGAGGTGAAGGCGCGCCGAGGAGGAGGGGGGGGGGGGTCTTCGACGGCTGAGCTCCGTGCAAGGCCCAGCGCAGGGCTTTTTTGCTGAGCTCCACCGAGGCCACGTGGTCGTCAATGGCACTGCCGATCATCTTTGGGGCCAGATCCGAGAGCACCACCGTGGCCTGAAAAAGTTTACTCCAAAGGGCCCCAGTCCAGCCCCAGCCATCGACAGCCGCAAGAGAGAGAGGATCCAATGCCGCCTGCCGCCCGGCCAAGAGCTCCTCCACCTGCCTCGAGGCGCAGGCACTACACATCACCGCACTCTCCTTCTCTATCCTTCCCAATCCTCTGGCCTCACGGTGGCCACGTCTTCAATGTCTCCCTGAACGAAGTAGTGGCCCTCCAGAGGCTCCATGAGAACTTTGTCCTCGAGACACTGTGGGGCTCTCCTCTGTTTAGCATCTCTGAGCAACTCGGAGCTCAGCTACGCGATGCATGCGCGCGATCCCATAAACGGGGTCCGAGGGGCCACGCCGACCACGAGCGCCTCTCGCCCTGCAGTGCGCTGCACGGCGACCTGCGACCAACCACCGGCGTAGCATCCCAGATCCAACACCACGGAGCTCCTGTCAAGGTCTACGACGTCTACGGTTCGGCCCACGTCCATAGATGTCTACGCCGCTAGCCTCGCTCTCTCGGCTTCGGGGTCCCCTCTCCTGTTGAAGAGCTTGTACTTCTCATCGAGCTGCTTCAGCTTGAAAGCGGCCCGGGACCTGCAGAAAAAGGGGGGCGGCCAGGCGTTTTGGTTCCGGGGCTCCGCAAGTGCGATGCAAGTGTTGGGCACCTGTACATCTGCTCATGGGCGCGTTGCACCCAGCGGTCCTTGGCGTGGCGCTGGATCCACTGCAGCGAGTGGCCTTCCAGCGCACGGCAGTGCGATTGGAAGCCTGTCTGTGCCTGTCCTCCTCCTTCCCAGTCGGTGCCTTTACTTGCCCAACAGCACCGGGACATGCTGCAGGCCATAGCCCACAAGGAAGCATGACGGTCGTCTTCCGAGCTTTGTTGAAGCTTTGAAACTGTTGCGATGCTACCTCGAGCCAAACGCAGAGGCGGGCATGAGCATGTGGGGAGATTTTCACACGAATGAAGGAACGAATCTAAGATCCGTTACCCGCGCCCTTCTTCAGAGGTGACAGCTGAGCCTCCCCGGGTTCCAGCTTCGGCACGGGCATCACGTCCAAGACCTCTGCCAAAAGTCAAACAAAAACCAACAGTGAATGAAGTAAATGCTTGAATCTGGTTGTAGTCTGTTTGAATCTGCTTGTGAATTGCTCTTGTCGCGCTTCCCCCCTCCCCGTCCCCAGGCCTCCATGTGGCTGCTGAGGTACTGGACCACGTCGATGCGGCAGTGCCGGGCCTCGGGGCCGGAAGTCGTGCAAGCGTCTAGGTCTCTCAGATCTCTCGGCTTGAGTGGTTTAGGGTTTCGGGTTTCGGGTTTAGAGTGTAGGGCCAGGGTTTGGGGTTTAGGGTTTAGAGTGTCTCAGGGCTACGTTGCATGTACAGAATTCGACAGAATTCGCATGCATTCACTGTCACTCGCCTAGAACGCACGGCGAGCACACGATGAAGTGGCACGCTCCGACACGGTGGGAAAACTCTTAGCTACACAAGTGGGCGCACGACAGCCTGGCCGAAATTTGTCGAAAGCTGACTGAACATATGGATCTGGATACATGCGGAGCCTAGAGCAAGGAATGGCACCTGGGTCCCTGCATAAACTAGAGCTGACAGGGCAGGAACCGGCAGCAGACTGGAAGAGACTGGAAGAGACTGGAAGATATGACCACATCGGGCCTTCGTCACCGAAGTCGGTCCGGTGTTGACATCTGTGGCACCCCAGAGGAACCTGGCACCAGGGCACGGAGTTCTTCTCACGCTCTCAGATCCCTCTCTTTGATGAGGCTCACTTGTGGATGGGCTCCCCTTTGATCTGCCACACCTTGGGAGGGCACTGCTGCTTTCAGAAGCAGCAACAGCAGAAACATGTCGAATTCCCGGAGTCTGCGAATCTGGATCCCTTTTGCAGCTCGTAGGACGCGTCATCAGAGGCTGTTCGCTCACATGTGATTGTAGAAGAAGCCTCGAAGCTCGCGGGAGGGCAGAAGGCAACATGCCACAGATCAGCCCTCCCGGTGCCCGCCTAGTACCTCGTAAGCTGATCCCAGATCCAGGGACAGGCTGATCTTGCTGCGCGGCCCCTCGAAGCCCACGCCGATCCAAACCAGCCTTGGCGGGCTGAGCCACGGCAGCTACGGCTGCTACGGGTCTCTACGGCTCACGCTCATCCGCGTCCGAGCCCAAGCCCGCATCGCGTCGCGGCGGCCAAGGTGCAGGGCGATGCTCGCCAGGAGCCCGGACAGGAGCAGGAGGCAGCCGAAAAGCAGGCAGACCATCCCGAAGAACAGGAAGCAAAGCAGCGTGGGCTTCGCTCTCAGCAGAGCGCTGCCCACGCAGAGCGGCACCAGCAGGTGGGCCGACGGATCGAAGACGTCCCTATCACGGTGCCGTTGCAGCAGAAGCGCCAGGTTCCAGAGGAACAAGTAACCTCAGCAATCCCTGCTTCAGGTCAGAGACCGGAGCCTCAAAAGGACATCTGGCGAGGTGCAGAAGAAGACTCCATTGGCCAGCATGCAGTAGACATCGCCCCCGGTGAGCTCAGAAGCTGCAGGCTCCACGGCTCGATTTCTCAGCACCTCCCGGCATCTGATTTTCAGTTCTGGGGGTGAAGGGGTACACCATGCAACTCAGCCATGCCTGAAAGCTGGTGGACGCAGTCATTGGGAAATGCGTCCCAGCATGCCAGTTCTTGCCGGTGGTGTACAGCACGATTGGAAGCAACAGCCTTGCATCGCGCAACTAGAAAATCCTGACTGTGGCATCTGGACCTTTTGCGGACGGGTCGCAGAGTCAGGTAGTATCGAAGCTGCCGCAGGGGATCCTCGATTTTGGCGTGCTGCCTAAGATCTGGACAAGAGAGGAGAGCACGAAAAGCCACAGCCCAATACCCCCTTCTCTCGGCCCGGCTGCTCGCTGAACTTGAAGCTCATCCAAGTGATCGCCAGAATCCTGAAAGCGTCTTCTCGAATCAGAACATGACGAGAACGACGACATTGCGACACGAAACTGTCACAACATATCCAAACTGCAGATAGGCAGGTGCTCGCTTGGTGGACCATCGGTGAGCAACGGCACTTCCAGTGCCAAACGGTCGGGGTCGGAGCAGTGCCAGCAGCAAGCAGTTCAGTGAGGGCTTACGGCTTGGGGGCTTGGGGTTAGCGTTTGAGACACTTGCCAGTTGCACTGTCTGGCACCCTTCTTCCGTCATGATCGAATAATTGGAGTGTACGGAGCTTCTGCCCACCAAGTCCCGCAAAGTTTCAACCGTCAGATGAACAGTATACGAAAGTACTGCAGCCACCCTCTGCATGTGCATGGCAGGGTTGTTGCAGCCGGAGAGCATGCACAGGTGGCCCAGGACGGTCCCGAAGGCCGCAACATAGGCCAGGGCACTGGGACTCCGTCGCCGCCGGGGCCGCGCCCGAACCTCGCCGGGCCGGAAGTAGGTTAAGCATTAGGGTTTAGGGTTTAGGGTTTTGTTTAGGGTTTAGGGCTTGGCCCTCTGTGCCCTCTGTGCCCTCCGCCCCGGGGCCTCGCCGTCCTCTTCGGCCGTGGACCCGAAGTCCTCGGGGCAAAAGCACGCAAGGCGGAGCTGCGCGTGCTGGTTGTGCAACCGCAAAGCGCGTATGCAGGCTTCAGACCCTAGGCATGAAGACCCGAACTCACCGTCGTGGGAGCTTGAATTGTGAAAAAACTGCGAGAACATGATGCTAAATTAGAATGGATGTGCCCCGCCCCATTTCTGCACGGCAATCCTAGTGACGATTGTCATGTCTAGCTTCCGGGGAAGACTATAAGCTACAAAGACCTTTGAAAGGAAAATGCAATGACGACTCCTTGCCCGGCTCGCCAACTTCGGGCAAGATGGGCCAGAGCAATCTCATCCAGTCGACCACGCTCTCCTCCTTTCCATCCTTGCCGTGTGGGGCCCGGCGAGCCATCCTCACTTCACATATGAAACTCGCGGTGGAGTCGGGCCTGGGAGTAGATCTTGGAGCCAAACATCGGAAGCTCAAGGCACTGCGAAGCAGAGCGATGAAAGGAGAAAGGCAACCGCTTTGTATCAAGGCCCCGGCCGTGCGCGCGATCCTTGGCCAGGCCAGCAAGCATCGTCGTCGGATCCCCTCAACTAACTTCAAATTTATATATTTTATTGTCCTATACTATATATCATATTATCCTATTGTTTTATTGTATTCTGTGATATTATCGTATATCATATAGTATATTATAGTATATTACGTATATTATACCATACTATCTTATAATATGCTATATTATATCATATTATCGTATGATATACTAGATTATCTTATCTCATCTCCTTCGGCTCTCAGTGCCGGGCCCTCGGATCTCTCCGAAGTGCCGCGCGTTGAGGTCCCCCAGCAGGACCACCGGGCAGTGCCGGGCCTCCGCAGATCGGCAAGTCATGCACGAAGTAGTAAGAAGGTGCGTGAAGGAGGCGGTTTAGGGTTTTGTGTTTGGGGTTTAGGGTTGAGGGCCATAGCCATGGCAGTTGCCAGATAATGCGCCGTCATCCCACCAAGAAGAAAAACAGAGGAGAGGAAGTGGGGTGAAGGAGCCACAGCTTGCGAGGGAGTCCGCATTTCGGGTTCTGGCCCTGGCATCTGTGGGGATGCAGCTTGTTTCCGGGTGTGGGAGGCCACAGAGGTGTAAACCATGGAAGCTGACGGCCGGCATCACGACGCGATAGACACCCGATGATGCGCCTGGGAAGCTGAAACTCAAAGCTTCCAAGAGGCAGTCGCCACCTAAGCCAGATGCTGTAGATCCAAGAAACGAGGTGCGACACCCATGTGTCAATATTCAATGCTGATTCATTGCTAGCTCGACGAAAGAGAAATGCAGGCTCCTCTGAAAGCGCATGGCAACGCAAAAAGACCAGAAGATTGGGTACCCTGGCCTATATTACCATGACAAAGTTAAACGAACAAGACACAACCGACACAGAGGCCTACCGCAGATAAATGCAGCTAGCACTCTTTTTACGATCATGTCTTGAGCCAAATACAGGATTCTCTTGAAGTGAAACCTACATGCAAACAGCCTACG